TTTTGAGAGGGGTTCTCTGTGCCTCCTGGATTTTGATGCCTGTTTCCTTCCCCAAATCAGGGAAGTTCTCTGCTATAATTTGCTCCAATATACCTTCTGCCCCCCTCTCTTTTTCCTTCTGGGATCCCAATTATTCTAATGTTGTTTTGTCTTATGGTATCACTTATCTCTCGAATTCTGCCCTTGTGATCCAGTAGTTATCTTTTTCTCAGCATCTTTATTTTCCATCATTTGGTCTTCTATATCAGTATTTCTCTCCTGCCTCATTTATTCTAGTAGTTAGAGCCTCCATTTTTGTATTTAAAGTGTGTCTCTACAGAAAGCAAGTATTTGTGTTTTCTTATCCATTCTGACAATCTTTGTCTTTTAATTGGAGTTTTTAAATCTACTTTTAATTTACTCTATAAATTGATAGGGCTGGATTGGGTTTGTCTCCTTTGATTTTTGTTATTATTTTACTGTTCCATTTTGATTCCTCTGTTGACTTGTTGGCCATTCCTTTTTGCATATATTTTTAGTGGTTTTGCCAGGGCTTATGATATGCATCATTAACCTCTCACAGACTGTACTGTACTATTCACATAAACTATAGATACCTTACAACAGTATAACTGCGTCTATCTCCCCATCTTTTGTGTTTTAGTTGTCATATATTATATTCTCTATGTTATAAACTGTAATATTTTTACTTTTATTTATTTATTTGAGAGAGAGAGCGAACATGAGTGGGGGTAGGGGCAGAGGGAGAGGGAGAAGCAGACTCCTGATGAGCAGGGAGCCTGACTCGGGGCTTGATCCCAGGACCCTGAGGTCATGACCTGAATTGAAACCAGGAGTTGGACACCTAACCAGTTGGGCCACCCAGGTGCCCCTGGAGCTTATAATCTTTTAGGAAAAACAACATGTAGCAAATCATTATACGTTTGCATACCATTTTACAGGAAGTTTGAGGTAAACAGAGCAATATATTTACTAGGACTCCATAGTGAATCGTATTTAAAATACTTAGGGGCACCTGGCTGGCTCAGTCAGTAGAGCATTCACTCTTGATCTTGGGGTTGTGAGTTTAAGCCCCACATTGGGTATAAGAGATAACTTAAAAATAAAATCTTTTAAAAATAAAATGCTTAATAATTTTTAATCCTTTGAATAAAAACTATTTTATTTTATTTTAAATATTTTTGTTTATTTATTTGACAGAGAGAGAGAGTCAGCGAGAGAGGGAACACAAGCAGGGGGAGTGGGAGAGGGAGAAGCAGGCTCCCCGCTGAGCAGGGAGACCAATGCGAGGCTCGATCCCAGGACCCTGGGATCATGACCTGAGCCGAAGGCATCTGCTTAACTGACTGAGCCACCCAGGCGCCTCTGAATAAAAACTATTTTAACAACCTATTTTATATTTCTTTGTTATGTATTTTATATAGTTCCTTGCTTTTATCCACCACTATTTCCCCCTCTGTGAAATGCATATTGCCTTTTATCTCTTCAGATTTTTACATTTACTTTTTACAGATTCCAATCAGTGTTGAAAACAGTAGTATGTATATTTTTCCTGACTTTCCTATGAATGGTTCTAGAATCTTACCTTTAAGTACATGTTTTTATATATAAAAAATATTACAGAAAAACATAAACGAACATTAATTGTATATGGGTGGTATGATATACATAATTTTCACTTTGTTCCTGTAATTTTCTGTACCACCAGTAAAATACAATATGCATTTTACTCTTTTATGTGAAAAAGATGGTGAGCATTTTTTTGAAAAATGGAAACTATATGTACTGTTTACTAATGAATTCATAGTTCAACCGTTGCTATATAAAGAGGCTTCTTCTCAAGTCTAATCCTAGTTCTTTTTGTTAGGGCCCAAGTAATAATCTGCTTGGCCTTTTGTGAATTAGAGATGTCAACATAATTTATTATTTTCCTCCATCTTTTCATTTTCCTTATTTCTTTACTAAATAAAACTTTATTTACCTGTGCTTTTAATTTGAGAGATAGTTATCTGTTATTAGAGAAAGGTGTTTCAACAAGCTAGGGTCTATAGGTTTCTAAATTATTATTAGTAGAACCATTGCAGATATTTCCCATTGACTTTAATTGCAATTCTCTGTAGAAGAATCACAGTATATTGTTTTAACTGAGTGAATCTTTTTTCCTTTTCATTTCAGTTGGAAAGACATCCTTGATCACCAGATTCATGTATGACAGTTTTGACAACACCTATCAGGTATTTTATTTTTGCTGACTTAACTCGTTGTCTCTGTTTTATGTTAGAAGTAATATTTAAGGTCTTTTCAAAAATCTACTTATTTACATAAAAGCACTTTCTGTAATCTGTAAAATGCTATATAAATACAAAGTATAACTGATTTTGCTCATAGTCCTCAATCTTTTCACTTGATTTCTTTATCTCTTCTTCCAAAGTCCATTGAAAGATTATGACTAATTACCATCTGGGATAGAAGTAGTAGTGGTTATAGATATTCTCTTACGTGGTTCAAGCCTAGGATTCTTTTTTTTTTTTTTTAAAGATTTTATTTATTTATTTGACAGAGAGAGAACACAAGCAGGGGGAGTGGGAGAGGGAGAAGCAGGCTTCCTGTGGAGCAAGGAGCCCGATGCGGGGCTGGATCCCATGGCCCTGGGACCATAACCTGAGCTAAAGGCAGACGCTTAACGACCGAGCCACCCAGGCGCCCCTCAAGCCTAGGATTCTATGACCTTTTGATCTATACTTCAAGTCAAGAATAAATGAATGATGTAATTAGAAATCATTAGCAGAAGGAGATTTGGGATTTTCACAAATATGTGGAAATTAAACAGCACATTCCCAAATAACCAATGAGTCAAGGAAAAAAATTCACAAAGGAAATTTAGGAAATACTTTGAGACAAATGGAAAAAAAACAACAACCACCACAACATACCAAAATTTATAGGATACAGCTAAAGCAGTGCTATAAGGAAAAGAAGAAATATATTAAATCAATAATTTAACCTACTACCTTAAGAAACCAGAAAAGTAAACTAACCCTAAAACAAGCAAAAGACAGGGGCGCCTGGGTGGCTCAGTCGTTAAGCATCTGCCTTCGGCTCAGGTCATGATCCCAGGTCCTGGGATCGAGCCCCGCATCGGGCTCCCTGCTCC